TGGAGTTCCTGCGGGACCAGCCCCAGTTCCAGAACATGCGACAGGTGATTCAGCAGAACCCTGCACTGCTGCCTGCTCTGCTCCAACAGCTGGGCCAGGAGAACCCTCAGCTTTTGCAGGTGTGGTCCCAGGGGCAGAGGGAACCAGGGCAGCCACCATTTCCCTTCCCTGCGGGCACCAGAGTCCATAACATACAGAAGTCGTTCTAATCCTGGAAAGCAGGACTAAGCGCATTCTTCCCCCACACCCCCATGCTTCCTGTGACCTGTCGACCCCCACGGTTTCTTAGTCTTCCGAACTGCCTTGTGAGGTGTGGGTGCTGTCAACATCACCTCCTGCAGAAGAAGACACTAGAAGCTTAGAACAGCCTGTCATTCCCAGGGCCACACAGCTGGTAGAGTGTGTGTCTGCCTGCTGCCTCAGGGTCCTGGGCTGGGGCTCTGGCTCTGGCTCCACATACAGATGGCACTACGTAAATGTCTGTAAGGTGGCATGACATCACCCAGGACAGCTGTGTCCCAGTTGGCTCTGGGACTTCTGTGCTCAGTGAGGCTCAACCTTGGCCTTTGAATGTTCACAGGAAGAGTAGGGGCGTGGGCCTCTGAGTGCAGGTTCCTCTGGGTCCTCTGTGAAGTGCCCACCTGTCTTGACCCAAGACCCTGCTGTCTGCCCCTTCTCTCATTTCTTAGCCCCTTGCCAGCTTCTCCTGCCCGGTCCTGTTCTTCATCTGCACTCAGTCCTCCCTCATAGTGTCCTGGGGCCTTCAGTCTGTATGGGGACTCCCAAATCTTTTTTTTTTTTTTTAAATATATATATTTTTATAAAGATGGGGTTTCACCATGTTGGTCAGGCTGGTCTTGAACTCCTGACCTCAGGTGATCCGCCCTCCTTGGCCTCCAAAGTGCTTAGATTACAGGCGTAAGCCATCATGCCTGGCCTGAGGACCCCCAAATCTATATAACCAGCTCAAGTCTCTCTCAGTGCCATACTCCATGGTTGGCTTAATCTGTCCATCAAAGTGCTTCCCCCCACCCCCTGCCCCGAGACAGAGTCTTGCTCTGTTGCGGTGGCAGATCTTGGCCCATGGCATCCTCTGCCACCTGGATTCAAGTGATTCTCCTGCCTCAGCCTCCTGAGCAGCTGGGACTACAGGTGTGCGCTACCACACCTGGCTAATTTTTTTGTATTTTAGTAGAGATGAGGTTTCACCATGTTGGCCAGGATGGTCTTCATCTCCTGACCTCAGGATCTGCCCGCCTCAGCCTCCCAAAGTGCTGAGATTACAGGCGTGAGCCCCCGCGCCCGGCCCAGAGTGCTCTCTAGACTAGACTTCTAAGATTTTGAACAGACTTCCCCAGTTCTCCCCCATCTCTGCAAGGACCAGCCTGGGGTTGCTTCAGCCTCAGGCCGTGGGGGCCAGCTGAGGTCCCTCCCCTTGTCCTGTCTCTTCTCCCCATCCAGCCCCTCCCTGCACTCCAGCTCCCTGGCAGGCTTCTCCAGGGCCTCTGCCACTCCACAGTACCACAGTCCATTGACTGAAAAACTCTTTTCTTTTCTTTTTTTTTTTTTTTTTTTTTTTGAGACGGAGTTTCACTATTGTTACCCAGGCTGGAGTGCAATGGCGCAACCTCCGCCTCCTGGGTTCAGGCAATTCTCCTGCCTCAGCCTCCTGAGTAGCTGAGACTACAGGCACGCGCCACCATGCCCAGCTAATTTTTTGTATTTTTAGTAGAGATGGTGTTTCACCATGTTGACCAGGATGGTCTCGATCTCTTGACCTCATGATCCACCCGCCTCGGCCTCCCAAAGTGCTGGGATTACCGGCTTGAGCCACTGAGCACGGCCAACACTTTCTTTAATGTGAAAATGGTCAGATGTAGACAAGAGTAGAGAGAGTTGTATCAGAGCTTCCAGATACCCAGGCTGGGCACAGTGGCGCCCACACCTGTAATCCCAGCACTTTGGGAGACCAGTGGGCAGACCAGTTGAGGTCAGGAGTTTGAGACCAGCCTGGCCAACATGGTGAAATCCTGTCTCTACTAAAAAAGTAGCTGAGCATGGTGGCAGGCCACTGTAGTCCCAGCTGTTTCGAAGGTTGAGGCATGAGAATTGCTTGAACCCAGGAGACAGAAATTGCAGTGAACCGAGATTGCCCCACTGCACCCCAGCCTGGGTGACAGAGTGAGACTCTGTCTTAAAAAGAATAGAAACGAAAACAAACAAATGAACTTCCACATACCCAAATCCAACACGCAGATGAGTTCACAGTTTTTGGTTCGGGGGAGTGGAGTCGGGGAATAGAGACAGGGTCTATATTGCCCAGGCTGGTCTTGAACTCCTGGGCCCAAGCAGTTCCTCCTGCCTTTCCTCCCAAGTTGTTAGGGTTACAGGCATGAGCCACCACACCTGGCCAAGTTCACCTTTCTAAAAGATTCAGACCACATATTTTCCTGAATAACTGTCATCATCGTGGCTTCCCACTGCTCTGGAAAATGGGTCTGACTTGAGAAGACCAAAGGGTCTTCCGCTCTGGTCTTATTATCTGCCTCATCCGTCTTCCCTTCCGTGTTCACTCTGTTCTTGCTTCTGAGATTTCCAGATGCATCCCCCCTGGGCCTTTGCACTTGCTGTTTGCTTTACCTGGAGGAAACCCTCTGCATCCTCCATATTGCAGACCTCTCCAGTCCTCATCTGCATTTCCTTTCTAGCCAGGCACTTGTAGTCGTCTGGTTCATTTATTGGCTCATGTATTTATTTGTTTATATTTCTGAGAGTCTGCCACCCAGACTGGAGTGTGGCGGTGCAGTCTCAGCACCCTGCCACCTCCGCCTCCTGGATTCTCCTACCTTAGCCTTCTGAGTAGCTGGGACTACAGGCATGTGCCATCACACCCAGCTAATTTTTGTATTTTTAGCAGAGATGGGGTTTGCCATGTTGGCCAGGCTGGTCTCGAACTCCTGGCCTCAAGTGATCCGCCTGCCTGTGCCTCCCAAAGTGCTTGGATTACAGGCATGAACCATTGTGCCTGGCCTATTTCTTTATTTTGTTTATTTATTCAAGATAGTCTTGCTCTGTTGTCCAGGCTGGAGTGCAGTGGCTTACTGCAACCTCTGCCTCTTACGTTCAGTCTCACGCCTGAGCCTTCTGAGTAGCTGGGATTACAGGCGCCTGCCACCACACCTGGCTACTTTTCCTCTTTTTAGTAGAGATAAGGGTTCACCACGTTGGCCAGGCTGGTCTCGAACTCCTGATCTCAAGTGATACACCTGCCTCTGCCTCTCAAAGTGCTAGGGTTATAGGCATGAGTCAGTAGGCCTGGCCCATTTCTTGGCTCACTTAAAGCCCATGGTCAGCTCCACCAGAGCAGGGCTTACATTGTCTGTTGTGTTTGGCCAGAATAGACTCCTCTGGAGATTTGCCTGACTGAATGAAAAAGCAAGGGCTGTGAAGACCTGGGGAGAGGAGGGGGCAAGGGCTGTGAATTACCCTCCCTTCCCCACCCTCTCCTGCAGCAAATTAGCCGGCACCAGGAGCAGTTCATCCAGATGCTGAACGAACCCCCTGGGGAGCTGGCGGACATCTCAGATGTGGAGGCAGAGGTGGGTGCCATAGGAGAGGAGGCCCCGCAGATGAACTACATCCAGGTGACGCCGCAGGAGAAAGAAGCTATAGAGAGGGTAAGAGGTCTGGATATGGGGGAACTGCAGGTGGGCAGGACCCCTACCTTCTACTGCTCACACTTACCCATCTTCCCACAGTTGAAGGCCCTGGGGTTCCCAGAGAGCCTGGTTATCCAGGCCTATTTCGCGTGTGAAAAAAACGAAAACTTGGCTGCCAACTTCCTCTTGAGTCAGAACTTTGATGACGAGTGATGCCAGGAGGCCAGGCCACCAAACCCCCACTCTACCCCTACTCCATGAAAGTTTTATAAAAGAAAAAAATATATATATATATACATGTTTATTTAAGAAGTGGGAAAAAGAATCAAAAACCTTAAAAAAACACAACAGTGAGCAAAAAGCCCAGCTTCCCGTCCTCCTAAAGTGGCCCTTGTTCCCATCTTGCTCTGAGAAGACCCAGGCCAGACAGCTGTCCCCTCCTCCCCAGCCCAGCCTGCTCAGAGAAGCTGGCAGGACTGGGAGGTGACAGATGGGCCCCTCTTGGCCTCTGTCCCAGCTCCCTGCAACCAGATGGAAAGGCGGCTGCTTGCTTCTCCATCTTCAGAAGAATCCCTGAGGACCCCCCACCCCATCCTCTTCTAGGATGAGGGGAAGCTGGAGCCCCAAAATTTGATCCTCCATTGGAGCAGCCCAAATCTTTCCATCTGGAGTGAGCCCTGAAAGGTTCAAGGCCCCCTCCCCAGTCTGGCCTTGGCCTCCAGCCTAGAGAAGGGCTAACATAAGCTCAGTGTTAAGGCTACCCCCACCCCAGAATAGAACCGTGTCTCTAATAAAGGTTTTGAAGTGAATAAAGTTTAAAAAACCAGCCCTATGGTCCGTGCCTGCTGGGGCTCCCCACGCCCGCCTGTCTCAGTCTGGGGGCTGTCTGGGCACAGGCAGGCGTGGTGATGGGTGCCGGGAAGTGGGAGAGGAGTCTGTGAGTCCTTGCAGATTGGGGCTCCCAGTGTCTCCTCCCCCAGTGTGTCATTTCCAGGCAGTGGACCCCAGCCCAGCCTTACAAGGACTGCTTCTCCCTGGCCCCCACCATCACCACCACAGTCTGTTTTGGCTATACTTCTCCCCTCCCCCCCACCCCATAATTGGCTAATTACCGGAGAAGAATGTTGGTAAACAGAAGCCTTCTTCTCTTCTGCCATCTGCTTCTTTATTATTTGCCCATTGCACCCCCGCCTTTTCTCGTCCTGAAGCTTCAGTAAGCAGGGCCTACAATCCCTGTCCCCCTTTTGAGTAGAGCCAAGTTGGGGATTCCCCAGCCCAGCCCTAGGTGTTGTGGGAGGAACCAGGGGATCCAGAGAGGCACACTTTGAGGGGACACAGGTCTCTTCAGGGGGACTGCCAGGGAGCAGGCTTTTATTGGGAAAGGACAAAGGCTCAGGAGCTGGGTGCCTCTGAGGCTGCTGGGTCCTGGGCTGCCATCGCAGCCATTGCAGCAGCTCGTGCCTCCTTCTTCTGTCTTTGTTTTTCCTCCTTGAGGCGCTTGCGCTCCTTCTTCTCTAGGTCCTGGAGCAGCTCCTGGAAGCGGGTGCTCCTTGGGTCCACTTGGTAGCCTAGGCGCTCCTGGGCCTCAGCCTGCAGTCGGGCCCTCCTCTCCTTGTCAGCCTCTTCCTTCTCCCTGCGCTCCCGTTGCTGCTGCCGCCATTTCTCAATCATCTTTGGCATCTTGGCCATGCACTCTGCGATGTGCTGCTCCCTGCAGGGGAGGGAGAGTGGGCCGTGACGCTGGCATTCAGCCAGGGCAGAGCTCACCCACCATAACCCACCCATAGGTCTTTGCGCACTAGCCTTCTCAACTCCCCCAGAAGGTTAACTGTCAGGAGAAGCCCTTGACAAGTGAAGAAACAGGAAGAGATGAAGAGAGTTACTTGTGCATGAATTTGATCACAAGAGTGTGTCAAGCCCCAGTACCCCATGTGCCAAAGCCAAATCAACATTTCACTGAGCTACCTACTGAGCCACCAAGTGCCACTCCCATGGACAATTTCACATGTTTATTCCACAGACATTGCTGAGTACCTACTGTAGCCAGGCCCAATTCTAGGCACAGGAGTGAAAGCAAGAAAGACATTTCCCATCAATACTTGAGTTTGTAGCTACCAGTCACAGCCCCATTTTTTTTTAACTTTTTGTACAGATTTATTTCATCACCCAGATATTAAACCTAGTATCCAGTAGTTCTCTTTCCTGATTCTTTCCCTCCATCCTCCAAAAGGCCCCAATGTGTGTTGTTCCCCTGTGTGTCCATGTGTTCTCATCATTTAGCTCCCACTTAGAAGTGAGAATATGTTGTATTCGGTTTTCTTTTCCTGTGTTAGTTTGCTAAGGATGATAACCTCCAGCTCCCTTCTTGTCCCTTCAAAGGACATGATCTCGTTCTTTTTTATGATGGCCTCATTTACGGATTGGAAAAGTGAAGAATTAAGCTGCCCTATAACAGGGTCATCTGGCTGAGGAAGGGCAGAAACGAGTCCCTGCTCCAACATTCCCTGCCTGGGTGATCAGACACATGACTTCACTTTGCCAAGCCTCAGTTTCCTCATCTCTAAAATTAGGGCAATCCCTTCTTCCTCTTAAGGCTATTGGGAAAACCAGAAGGTTAAATACCAGGAACACACTTGACCTACCCCCTCTGCCATCCAGGAAGTGGCATTATCTGTAACAGATACCCCTGATCCAGCCAGGCACAGTGGCTCATGCCTGTAATCTCAGCACTTTGGGAGACTGAGGCAAGTGGATCACCTGAGGTCAGGAGTTTTGAGACCAGGCTGGCCAATAGGGCGAAACCCTGTCTGTACTAAAAATACAAAAAATTAGCCAGGTGTGGTGGTGCACGCCTCTAATCCCAGCTACTCAAGAAGCTGAGGCAGGAGAATTGCTTGAACCCGGGAGGCAGAAGTTGCAGTGAGCCGAGATCTCACCATGGCACTCCAGCCTGGGGAACCAGAGCGAAACTCCACCTCAAAAAAAAAAAAAAAAAAAAGCCTGTGGTCCTTCAGACTTGCCTCTCTGTACCCGACCTCTGCCCTTGGTTCCAGGACCCATCACCTTCCTGCCCTCACTTTTCCCCAGCTACACTGGCCACTTGGCTCTTCTTTAAGGCATATCCTATCTCAGAGCATTTGCCTCAGCTATTCCTTCTACCAGGAACTCTTTACCTAAGAGATCTCCCCATGGCTAAGTCTGGTTATTCAGGTCTTGGCTTAATCATCATCTCCTCAGAGAGTACTGAACCAAAGCTGCCCTCAGGCAGGCACTCTTCACTCTTTTACCTTCCTAATAGGCAGTCCACTGTGGCCATCTGATATTATCTCGCCTGTTTCCTGCTGGGACAGGATTTTGTTTTTTTGTTTTTTTTTTTGAGATGGAGTTTTCCTCTCTTGCCCAGGCTGGAGTGCAGTGGCCTTATCTCAGCTCACAGCAACCTCTGCCTCCTGGGTTCAAGCTATTCTGTCTCAGCCTCCCGAGTAGCTGGGATCACAGGCGTGTACCACCATGCCCGGCTAATTTTTGTATCTAGTAGAGACAGGGTTTCGTCATGTTAGTTAAGCTGGTCTCGAACTCCTGGCTTCAGGAGCCCTTTGGGGCCTGCCTCGGCCTCCCAAAATGCTAGGATAGCAGGCGTGAGCCACCGCGTGCAGCCTGGGACGGGTTCTTGCACACGGTATGCGCTCAGTAAATTCTTGCTGATCATGGCCGGTTGCGGTGGCTCACGCCTGTAATCCCAGCTACTCGGGAGGCTGTGGCAAGAGAATCGCTCAACCCTGGAGGCGAAGGTCGCGCCACTGCACTCCAGCCTGGGCAACAGTAAGACTTAAAAAAAAAAAAACAAAAAAACACAAAACGACTTGCTGATGAATGCCTAAATGGACTGTTACTGAGTTTGTTTTGCGGCCAGGTAAGCGTATATATAAATGTACAACATGTAGATGCTGCGAGGTGCCCCCAGTGGGGTAGGCACGGTTTGGGGCCCAGTTCGCCCAAGGGACACAGAGGGCAGCTCCCCGTCTTCCTGCACGCACGCACCTCTCCTGACGCTTCTGCTCTTCGGCCAGCTGCTTCACCCGCAGCGACTCCTGCATGGTCGCCAGGGTTGGGTACCATTCGCGCTCCTTAGCCTCCAGCTCCCTCCGCTGCTCCGGCGACGGCCATAGCGAACCGGGGTCCACCCCGGAGGCAGCGCCGTAACGCGCGAACTGCTTAGCTGCGTAGCGCGGCCTCAGCTGCCATCGCGGGGTCAGGAGGTCCTCGGGGTCTGGCCACCGGGGTCCTGGCCTGCGGCGGGGGGGCGGGGGGGCCCGGTAGCCACGGGAACCCAGGCCCAGCGTCGCCGCCAGCCCCGGCAGGCTACGTGCCTGTCGCACGGACGCCGCCATCTTGGCCGTGCGGGGTCCTCGCACGCCGGCCGGGCTGTTCAAGGCGCTGCCTGAGCGCGAGGCCAGGTGGGGGCCAGGGCAGGGCGAGGGACGTGCCTGCCGCCTGAGTTCGGGGGAGTGAGGAGAAGGAGTTAGTATAGATTTTATACATTTCCAAGTATAGCTTTAACTTTTAAACAGTTACTTATTAAAGTCTTTTTTTTTTTGAGACGGAGTTTCGCTCTTGTTACCCAGTCTGGAATGCAATGGTGCGATCTCGGCTCACTGCAACCTCCACCTCCTGGGTTCAGGCAATTCTCCTGCCTCAGCCTCCCGAGTAGCTGGGATTACAGGCGCGCACCACCATGCCCAGCTAATTTTTTTGTATTTTTAGTAGAGACGGGGTTTCATCATGTTGACCAGGATGGTCAATTGATCTCTTGACCTCGTGATCCACCCGCCTTGGCCTCCCAAAGTGCTGGGATTACAGGCGTGAGCCACCGCGCTCGGCCTTAAAGTCATTTTTAATTTTCACTTTTTTTCCTCTGCACACTGACACTTAAAAAATGTGTTTTTAAGCGTTCAGTGTTCTTTGGGTAAAAAATATTTTTAATTTTACTTTTATGCATTTATATTAGCATTTATTACTTTTTAAAATTTAAATGTGGCCGGGCGCAGTGGTTCACTGCTGTAATCCCAGCACTCTGAGAGGGCGAGGCAGGCATCACCTGACGTTAGAGGTTGAGACGGACAAAAAGTAGACGGATGTGGTAGCGCACGCCTGTAATCCTAGCTACTGGGGAGGCTGAGGCAGGAGAATCGCTTGAAACTGGGAGGCGAGGTTGCCCCACTGCTCTCCAGCCTGGGAGAAAAAAAATAAAATTCTGTCACATGCTGTGACATGGATGAACCTTGAAGACATTAGGCTAAGTGAAATAAGGCAGTCACAAAAGGATAAAAATTGTATTCAGTTATATGAGGTAACTAGAGTAGTCAAATTCATAGAGACAGAAAGTCGATGAGGTGTTACCAGGGGCTGGGGGTGGAGGAGTGGGAAATATTGCTTATAATGTAGAATATAGTATGTTTCATATTGTAAAATATACACAATAAAGAAAAAGAATTTGTGTTTTGTTTTGTTTTTGAGTCAGAGTCTTGCTCTGTCTCCCAGGCTAGAGTACAGTGGCGCCATCTCTGCTCACTGCAACCTCCGCCTCCCGGGTTCAAAGGATTTTCGAGCTTCTGCCTTCTGAGTAGCTGGGACCACAAGCTCTAGCCACCATGCCTGGCTAATTTTTCCATTTTAGTAGAGATGGGGTTTTACCATGTTGGCCGGACTGGTATCAAACTCCTGACCTTGAGTGATCCGCCCGCCTTGGCCTTCCAAAGTTCTGGGATTACAGGTGTGAGCCACCACCCGGCCAAATGTTGTTGTTGTTGTTTTTGTTTTTAAAGATGGGGTTTCTCCATGTTGGCCAGGCTGGTCTTGAATTCCTGACCTCAGGTGATCCACCCACCTCGGGCTCCCAAAGTGCTAGGATTACAGGCGTGAGCCACCACACCCAGCCTGTTTTTTTTTAATCACACACATGCACACCTTCTCTGCCCCTGCAAAAAAGAATTGTAATTTTTCTCAAGACATAAATGTTCATAGGAACATCACATATATATGTAATTTCCAAGCTGGAACTAGCTCACACCCAATGTCCATCTCAAGTAGAATGGACACCTAAATTATGCTGTTTCAGCCAACGGACTAGTACACAGGAATGAAAGAGCAGATATTACATCTGCTCACAGCAAGATGGATGATTCTTAGAAGCATAATGTGCAACAAAGGAAGCAGGACTTACATGGTTGCTTTTCAAATTAAATTAAATTTGTTTTTTGACACAGGGCCTTGCTCTGTTGCCCAGGCTAGAGTGCACTGGCTTGATCATAGCTCACTGCAGTCTTGAATTCCTGGGCTCAAGTGATCCTCCTGCCTCAGTCTTTCAAGTAGGTAGACTACTGGAATGAACCACTACTTCCACCTAAATTAAAAATTTTTTTTTAAGACAGGGTTTCTCTATCTTATCCAGGCTGATCTTGAACTGTTGGGCTCCCCCTCCCCCTCCTCTGCCCCCTCCCTTTTCCCTTCCTCTTCCCTTCCCTACTCTTCCCTTCTCTCCTCCGCTTCCCTCTTGACAGGATCCCACTCTGTCACCCAGGCTGGAATACACTGGCATGATCAGTGCAGCCTCAACCTCCTGGCCTCAGGTGATCCTCCGGCCTCAAGTGATCCTCCAACCTCAGCCTCCTGAGTAGCTGGAACTGCAGGCACTCGCCATCAAGCCTGGCTGATTTTTGTATTCTTTGTAGTGATAGAGTCTCAATATGTTGCCCAGGGTGGTCTTGAATTTCAGGGCTCAAGTTATCCTCCTGCCTTGGCCTCCCAAAGTGTTGAGATTACAGGTATGAGCCACAGTGCCTGACCTGAGAATATTTTCGTCTTGGAAACCTGTAAGTCTGTACCCATGAAACACTCCCCAGTTTCCCTTCCGCCTGCCCAGTCCTTGGCAGCCACTATTATACTTTCTGTTTCTATGAATTTGGACTACTCTAGGTACCTCATGTAAGTGGAATTATACATACTTGTCCTTTTGCAACTGGTTTATTTTTTATTTTGAGACAGGGTCTTGCTCTGTTCCCCAGGCTAAAGTGCAGTGGCATGATCATAACTTGATGCAGAATCGACCTCCTGGATTCAAGTGATCCTCCCACTTCAGCCTCTCAAGTACCTGAAACTACAGGTACTCACCTGGCAAGTTTTTTTTTTTAAAGATGGGATTTCACCATGTTGGTCAGGCTGGTCTTGAACTCCCAACCTCAGGTGATCTGTCTGCCTTGGCCTCCAAAGTGCTTGGATTACAGGTGTGAGCCACCACACCCGGGCCTTTTTTTTTTTTTTTTTGAGACAGAGTCTTGCTTTATTTCCCAGGCTAGAGTACAGTGGTGGGATCTCGGCTCACTGCAACCTCCGTCTCCCGGGCTCAATCAGTTCTCCTGCCTCAGCCTCCCAAGTAGCTGGGACTACAGGCAGGAGCCACCTGCCCCTGGCCTAATTTTAATTTTTTTTTATTTTCAGTAGAGACAGGATCTCACTATGTTGCCCAGACTGGTCTCGAACTCCTGAGCTCAAGCAATCCTCCAGCCTCAGTCTCCTAAAGTGCTGGGATTATAGGTGTAAGCCAATGCACCTGGGCTGACTTAGTTTAGTTGCCATAATATCCTAAAACTTTTCCTTTTTCCTTTTTGTGACTGAGTCTCAGTCTGTCGTCGCCCATGCTGGAGTGCAGTGGCTCGATCTTGGCTCACTGCAACCTCCACCTCCCGGGTTCAAGCAATTCTTGTGCCTCAGCCTCCCCAGTAGCTGGGATTACAGGCATCTGCCACCACACCTGGCTAATTTTTGTATTTTTAGTAGAGACGGGATTTCACCCCGTTGGCCAGGCTGGTCTCAAACTCCTGACCGCAGGTGATTTGCCTTGGCCTTGAAAAGTGCTGGGATTACAGGTGTGAGCCACCGCATCCAGCATATCCTAAAGTTTCATCTGTGTTGCAGCACGTGTCAGAATTTCTTTCCTAGCCTGGACAACATTGTGAAACCCCTGTCCCTACAAAAAATACAAAATTTAGCCAGGCGTGGTGGTGCATGCCTGTAGTCCCACCTACTTTGGAGGCTGAGGCAGGAGGATCTTTTGAACTTGGGAGGTGGAGGCTCCATTGAGCTGTGGGCATGTCACTGCGCTCCAACCTGGGTGACAGAGTGAGACAATCTCCAATTTTTTTCTTTCCTTTTTAAGGCTGAATGCTATTCCATTGTATGGATGGACCACATTTCTTTTTCTTCCAACAGCAGATGTCATGCTGAAAGGATGAATAACATGGATCATATTTTGTCTATTCATTCATCTATACACATGGACATTTGGGCAGCCTCCAGTTTTTGCCTGTTGTGAATAATGATCTTATGAACATGGGTATACAGCATTTTTTTTTTTTTTAGACAGAGTCTCACTCTGTCGCCAGGCTAGAGTGCAGTGGCTTGATCTCGGCTGCAGCCTTCACCTTCCAGGTTCAAGCAATTCTTCCTCCTCAGCCTCCCAAATAGCTGGGACTACAGGTGTGTGCGACCACACCCAGCTAATTTTTTGTATTTTTAATAGAGACGGGTTTTCACCATATTGGTCAGGATGGTCAGGATGGTCTCAATCTCTTGACCTCATGATCCACCCGCCTTGGCCTCCCAAAGTGCTAGGATTACAGGTGTGAGCCCCTGCACCTGGCCTTTTTTTTTTTTTTTTTGAGACGGAGTTTCGTTCTTGTTGCCCAGGCTGGAGTGCAATGGCACGATCTCAGGTCACCGCAACCTCTGCCTCCCAGGTTCAAGTGATTCTCCTGCCTCAGCCTCCCAAGTAGCTGGGATTCCAGGCATCCGCTAATACCTGGCTAATTTTGTGTGTTTTTAGTAGAGTTGGGGTTTCTCCATGTTGGTCAGGCTGATCTCCAACTCCCGACCTCAGCTGATCGACCCATCTTGGCCTCCCAAAGTGCTGGGATTATAGGTGTGAGCCACCTTGCCTGGCATTTTTTTTTTTTAGACGGAGTCTCGCTCTGTTGCCCAGGCTAGAGTATAGTGGCATGATTTTGGCCCACTGCAACCTCTGCCCCTGGGTTCAAGCGATTCTCCTGCCTCAGCCTCCACTACAGGCGTGTGCCACCATGCCAGCTATTTTTTTTATATTTTTATTAGAGACAGGGTTTCACTGTGTTGGCCAGGATGGTCTTGATCTCCTGACCTTATGATCTGCCCACCTCAGCCTCCCCAAGTGCTGGTTATTATGGGTGTAAGCCACCATGCCCGGCCTTATTTATTCTTTTTTTGAGACAGAATGTCACTGTGTCGCCCAGGCTGGAGTGCAGTGGCATGAGATCTCGGTTTACACCAACCTCTGCTGAATTCAAACGATTCTCCTGCCTCAGCTTCCCAAGTAGCTGGGATTCTGACGGGGCATGGTGGCTCATGCCTATAATCCCAGCACTTTGGGAGGCCACGGTGGGTGGATCACCTGAGGTCAGGAGTTCAAGACCAGCCTGGCCAACATGGTGAAAACCCGTCTCTACTGAAAATACAAAATTAGCCTGGTGCTGTGGCGAGTGCCTGTAATCCCAGCTACTGGGGAGGCACAAGAATTGCTTGAACCTGGGAGATGAAGGTTGCGGTGAGCTGAGATTGTGCCATTTCACTCAAGTCTGGGTGGATAGAGTGAGACTCTGTCTCAAAAAAATACAAATAAAAAGGAAAAAGGAGCTGGGATTATAGGCGCCCACCACCATGCCCAGCTAATTTTTTTCTAGTTTTAGTAGAGAGAGGATTTCACCTTGTTGGCCAGGCTGGTCTCAAACTCCTGGCCTCAAGTGATCTGCCAGCCTCCACCTCCCAAAGTACTGAGGTTTTAACTTTTTAATGTAATTTTATTTTCTGAGGTGGAGACTCACTCTGTTGCCTAGGCTGGAGTGCAGTGGCACGATCTTGGCTCACTGCAACCTCTGCCTCCCAGGTTCAAGCAATTCAGCCTCAGACTCAAGAGTAGCTGGGACTACAGGCATGCACCACCATGCCTGGCTAATGTTTTGTGTTTTTAGTAGAGACAGGTTTTCACCGTGTTAGTCAGGATAATCTTAATCTCCTGACCTTGTGATCCGCCTGCCTCAGCCTCCCAAAGTGCTGGGATTACAGGCATAAACCACTGCGCCCCGCCCAAGGCTTTTATTCTTAATGAAATAAAGTAGCATAGAACACAGTTACCAGGTTGTATCTAGTAATGACTATCACTCTGTAGTAAGTATAAGTATTGTTTTATAAAACTTTCATTTCCGGCACATATACCTGTATGTATGTTCTGGTGTTCTAGCTACAGTTGCTGTGAACAACCTTTACCCATTTTATTAGCCCATGGATTCTGTGGATCCGGATTTTTGGTAGGGCCCAGTGGGGATAGCTTGTCTCTGCTCACTGCTACCTTCCTGCAGCCGGGAAGAATTGAAGGTTGAGGCAACATGATACCTGGCAGCCAGAAATATCAGGAAACATGATTCACTCTTGTCTAAGGATTGATGCTGGCTCAGGCCTCAGCAGGACTGTCAGCTGGTGTATCTACACAGAGGTCTCTCTGCATGGGCGGTTTAGGCTTCCTCACAGAATGGCGGCTGGGTCTCAAGAAAACAAGACTCAAGTGCAGCATAGCCATTTTTTCTTAAGATGGAATCTCGTTCTGTTGCCCAGGCTGGAGTGCAGTGGCATGATCTCAACTCACTACAACCTCCACCTCCCAGGTTCAAGAGATCCTCCTGCCTCAGCCTCTCAAGTAGCTGAAATTGCACTCAGCTAATTTTTTTGTATTTTTAGTAGAGACCGGTTTTCACCATGATGGCCATGCTGGTCTCCAACTCCTGACCTCAGGTGATCTGCCTGTTTTGGCCTCCCAAAGTGCTGGGATTACAGGCTTAAGGCACTGTGCCCAGCCTGATTAAAGCAGAGTTTCTTTTTTTCCTTTCTTTTTTTTTTTTTTTTTTTTTGAGACGGAGTCTCGCTCTGTCACCAGGCTGGAGTGCAGTGGTGCAATCTCAGCTCACTGCAACCTCCGCCTCCTGGTTCAAGCGATTCTCCTGCCTCAGTAGCTGGGATATAGGCGCGTGCCACCACGCCCAGCTAATTCTTGTATTTTTAGTAGAGACAGGATTTCACGATGTTGGCCAGGCTTGTCTTGATCTCTTGACTTCATGATCACCTGCCTTGGCCTCCGAAAGTGCTGTGATTACAGGCGAGAGCCACTGTGCCCGACCACAATTTTTTTTTTTTTTTTTTTTTTTCTGAGACGGAGTTTCGCTCTTGTTACTCAGGCTGGAGTGCAATGGCGCGATCTCGGCTCGCCGCAACCTCCACCTCCTGGGTTCAGGCAATTCTCCTGCCTCAGCCTCCCGAGTAGATGGGACTACAGGCCCGCACCACCATGCCCAGCTAATTTTTATACTTTTAGTAGAGACGGTGTTTCACCATGTTGACCAGGATGGTCTCGATCTCTTGACCTTGTGATCCACCTGCCTCGGCCTCTCAAAGTGCTGGGATTACAGGCGTGAGCCACCGCACCTGGCCCCTACTGATCACAATTTTTAAAGTCTAGAGTGAGGTTCCCTCATACTATCTGCACATTTCCGTGCCCCTCCTCAGCAGGAAAACCTGGCTGCTTTTTGCAACATGTAAATACAAGTAAACAATAGCTGTAAATTTTCTCTCTTTCCCCAAAAGGTTGGAATGATAGCCTATTCATTTTCTTTTTACTTAATTTTTTGGGGGATGTCTTTTTTTTTTTTAGATGGAGTTTCGCTCTTGCTGCCCAGGCTGGAGTGCAGTGGTGTGATCTTGGCTTGCTGCAACCTCCTTCTCCTGGGTTCAAGCGACTCTCCTGCCTCAGCCTCTTGAGTAGCTGGGATTACAGGCATGTGCTGCCACACCCAGTTACTTTTTTGTATTTTTGGTAGAGATGGGGTTTCACCATGTTGACCATGCTGGTCTTGAACTCCTGCCCTCAGGTGATCCGCCCACCTCAGCCTCCCAAAGTGCTGGGATTACAGGTGTGAGCCACTGTGCCCGGCTGGGGATATCTTTCCATGTTAAAATTTAAAGAGCTTCTGCTGTCTTGTGTAGCAGCATAGTATTAGGGAATGTGCTTGGTACGTTTGGAAAAACGGAATGAGCAAGGGTGGCTGGAGGGAAAAAAGGAGAGATTGTGGGGACATGAGCGTGGGGAGGTGATGGGGGCACATCCTGCTGGGCCTCGTGGCCTCCTCCTGAGGTTTTTTTCTGAGGCAGATGGGAGCCATGGAGGATTCTGATCGGAGGGTCGAGACTTGGACTCAGGTGCTCACAGGCGCCCTCTGGCCGCGGTGGAGGGAATAGACTGTGGGGGATGGGTGGCCAGGGCGGGAGCTGGGAGACCTGGAAGGAAGTGACTGCGCTGATCCAGATAGGGGGACAAGGAGTTGGTGAGAAGCTGGCGGATTCTGGGTAGATTCTGGAGCTGACCGGAGTTACTGTCATATAAGATTGGGAGCGGGTATGGGCGTTAGAGAAAGAGATCGGTCAAGGGTGCTCCAAAGTTTGTAGCCTTCGCACCTGGCAGGACAGAGCTGTGGTTATCTGGGTCTAGAGGACAGCAGAAGGGCAGATTGGGGACAGTCAGGAGCTGGATGTAGGGGGCTGGGTGGGAAGCACGCCCGCTACTCCAGGCTGGATGTCTGGGAGGCGCGTGTTCTGGGTACGGCCGCCACGCAGTCCCGGGAGCCGCCGCCAGAGGGCGAGCACGCCGCATCGCATTCGTGGCTCCGTGGAGGGCAGGGCGCGGGAAGGTCCGGCCTCACCTCTTCCCACGGCCCTGGTGGCCTTCAAGCTCCTCACTTGGGTGCGAGATAGAAGTGCCGGGACCCAGCCAGGAACCCCCCAGGCACCTCAGGGGCCCCAAAGCCTGGGATGCGACTCTCATCCTATCTGCTTCTAACGCTCCCAACCTCCACCCCCCACCACCAGGCTGTTCCCACCGCCTCCAGAGCCATCTCAGGTGTCTGTAAAAATGGCACCTACTCGGGGAGGACTTCCCTGATCACCCCGGAGACAGAAGCCCCCGCCCTGACCCCTCTAAGGTACATCCCATATTAATAGCTTCTTAAGACTCTAAAATCATTTATTATTATTATTATTATTTTAATTTTTTTGAGACGGAGTTTCGCTCTTGTTACCCAGGCTGGAGTGCAATGGCGCGATCTCGGCTCACCGCAACCTCCGCCTCCTGGGTTCAGGCAATTCTTGTGCCTCAGCCTCCTGAGTAGCTGGGATTACAGGCATGTGCCACCGTGCCCAGCTAATTTTTTTTTTTTTTTTTTTTTTTGTATTTTTAGTAGAGACGGGGTTTCACCATGTTGACCAGGATGGTCTCGATCTCTTGATCTCGTGATCCACCCACCTCGGCCTCCCAAAGTGCTGGGATTACAGGCTTGAGCCACCGAGCCCGGCCCATTTTTATTATTAATTATTATTATCATCATTATTTTTGAGAGGGTCTCATTGTTACCCAGGCTGGAGTGCAGTGGCATGATCTGGCTTACTGCAACCTCCGCCTCCCGGGTTCAAGCAATTCTCGTGCCTCAATATCCCGAGGCAGCTAGGGTTACAGCGTGCCACCACGCCCAACAATTTTTTCTTTTTCACTTTTTGAGATGGAGTTTTGCTCTTGTTGCTCAGGCTGGAGTGCAATGACGCCATCTTGGCTCACTGCAACCTCCGACTCCTGGGTTAAAGTGATTCTCCTGCCTCAGCCTCCAGAGTAGCTGGGATTACAGGCATGCGCCACCTCGCCCAGCTAATTTTGTATTTTTAGTAGAGATGGGGTTTCTCCATGTTGGTCAGGCTGTTCTTGAACTCCTGACCTCAAGTTATCTGGTCACCTCAACCTCCCAAAGTGCTGAGATTACAGGCATGAGCCATCGAATTATTATTATCTTTTATTGTCTGTTTTCTGCACAGTGTAAAATCCATGGCAGTGAGGACCCATTTTCTGTCTTGTTCTCCTGTATCCTCAGGGCTCAGAATTGAGTCTGGCCTATACCGAATGTTAAAGAAAATAAAACAGCTGGGCACGGTGGTGTGCGTCTCTAATCCCAGGCACGGTGGTGTGCGTCTCTAATCCCAGGCACGGTGGTGTGCGTCTCTAATCCCAGGCACGGTGGTGTGCGTCTCTAATCCCAGGCACGGCGGTGTGCGTCTCTAATCCCAGGCACGGCGGTGTGCGTCTCTAATCCCAGGCACGGTGGTGTGCGTCTCTAATCCCAGGCACGGTGGTGTGTGTCTTTAATCCCAGCGCTTTGCGAGGCTGAGGCAGGAGGATCACTTGGGGCCAGCAGTTTGAGACAAACCTGGTAACATAGTAAGACCCCGTCTCTACAAAAAATTTAAAAATCAGCCAGCCATGGTGTCATGCACCTGTGGTGTCAGCTATTCAGTGTGGTTGAGGCAGGAGGATTCCTTGAGCCTGGGAGGTCGAAGCTGCAGTGAGCTGTGATTGTGCCACTGCACTCCAGCTTGGGTGACAGAACAAGACCCCATCTCAACAATAACAACAAAAACCAAACAAATAAACAAAAAAGGCCAGGTGCGGTGGTTTATGCCTATAATCCCAGCACTTTGGGAGGCCAAGACCGGCGGATTGCCTGAACTCAGGAGTTCAAGACCACCCTGGGCAACATGGTGAAACCCCATATCTACTAAGATACAAAAAAAAAAATTAGCCAGGCATGGTGGGTGGCAGGGGCCTGTAGTCCCAACTACTCGGGAGGCTGAGGCAGGAGAATCACTTGAACCCAGAATGGGAGGTTTCAGTGAGCTGAGATCATGCCATTGCACTCTAGCCTGGGTGACAGAGGGAGACTGTCTCCGAACACACATACACGCAAAAGAAGAAGAAAAAGAGGGCTGGGCTTGGTGGCTCACGCCTGTAATCCCAGCACTTGGGGAGGCTGAGGCTTGTGGATCACGAGGTCAGGAGATCGAGACCATCCTAGCCAACATGGTGAGACACCGTCTCTACTAAAATACAAAAAATTAGCCGGGTGTGATGGTGCGCGCTGTAGTCCCAGCTATCGGGAGGCTGAGGTAGGGGAATTGCTTGAACCCAGGCAGCAGAGGTTATGGTGAGCCAAGGTCACGCCACTGCACTCCAGCTTGGAGACAGAGCAAGACTCTGTCAGAAAGGAAAGAAGGAAAGAAGAAAGGAAGGAAAAGAAAGAAAAAAAGGAAAACAAAAGTCAGACAAGATAGCCTCCAGTGCCTATAATCCCAGCATTTGAGACTAGCCTGGGCAACAGAGTGAGACACTGTGCCACATAAAGAGAAAATATATAAAAAAAGAACTGGCTGTGCATGGTGGCTCACGCCTGTAATCCCAGCACTTTGGTAGGCTGAAGTGGGTGGATTGCTTGAGGTCAGGAGTTTCAGACCAGCCTGGCCAATATAGTGAAACCTGTCTGTATTACAAATACAAAAATTAGCTGGGTGTGCTTGTTCACATCTGTAATCCCAGCTACTCAGGAGGCTGAGGCAGGAGAATCACTTGAACCCAGGAGGTGGAGGTTACAGTGAGCCAAGACCATGCCACTGCACTCCAGCCTGGGTGACAGAGCAAGACTCCATCCACCCCCACCAAAAAAAAAAAAACAAAAAACAGAACAAAAAACCCAGCAGCAATAATGTTAATCATAGCTGATTCATGGTGTTACTGTTTAGGAATCTCTGTTTTAAGCTCCTTACATAAATTACCGCCTTAGTTCCTCAGAACAAGCCAGTGAGGTAGGAACTGTTTTATCCCTCATATTACAGAAAAAGAAGGTAAGGCTCAGAATGGTTAAGGGACTTGCTCAGGGTTACATGGCCAAGAAATTGCAATGCCTGGGCTGAACTCAAGAAACCTGGCTGCAAGGTAAGCTGTTTTTTTTTTTTTTTTAGATGGAGTCTTGCTCTGTCACCTAGGCTGGAGTGCAGTGGTGTAATCTTGGCTCACCGCAACCTCCACCTCCCAGATTCAAGCGATTCTCCTGCCTCAGCCTCCTGAGTAGCTGGGATTACAGGCACCTGCCACCACAACCAGTTAATTTTTGCATTTTTAGTAGAGATGGGGTTCCACCATATTGGCCAGGCTGGTCTTAAACTCCTGATCTCAGATGATCTGCCCATCTTGGCCTTCCAGAGTTCTAGGATTACAGATGTGAGTCATCACACCCGGCCATAATTTTTTTTAATTATTTTTTTTTGAGACAGTATCTCTTGTTGCCTAGGATGGAGTGCTGTGGCACCATCTTGGCTCACTGTAACTTCTGCCTCCCAGGTTCAAGCGATTTTCCTGCCTCAGCCTCCTGAGTAGCTGGGATTATAGGTGCCTGCCACCATACCTAATTTTTTTGTATTTTTAGTAGAGATGGGGTTTCACCCTGTTGACCAGGCTGGTCTCAAACTCCTGACCTCAGGTGATCTGCCCGTCTTGGCCTCCCAAAGTGCTGGGATCACAGGTGTGAGCCACCGCACCCAGCCCAATTTTTGTATTTTTAAAGTAGACATGACACTCACCATGTAATCCAGGCTGGTTTTGAATTCCTAGTTTCGAATTCGTAGATCACTTCAAGTGATCTACAAGTCTTGGCCTCCCAAAGTGCTGGGATCACAGGTGTGAGTCACCGAGCCAGGCCCAAAGTGTGCTTTTGCTAATTGGAAGGACCGAGATCCCAGGACTGAAAAAGCACCTGCCCAGGGGCTTCAGGCATTGTGTGTCTCAGCCCCTGGCCCCAAACCTGTCTTTCCTGGTCCCCACAGCTTGCACACTGCAGGCCCAGCCCCCATGTCTCCCAGCAGGCTGGGAGGTGTGGGAACCCAGCAGGTCTGAGTTTACTCACCTCCCCTGCTGTGGGTCTACAGAAATGCCTCCCAGGCTATCCAGGAGGGGTCAAGAGATTAAAACGGGTTCAGAGGGCTCAGATGCCACTCACCAGACAGCAGGGTCGACTGCTAGAGACCCTGAGCCCAGTCCTGGACAAACGGACAGACGCATGGACAAGCAGATGCTCCTTGGCCGGCTGTCCACTCTTCTGTGCCTGCTTAGCGGGGCCTTGTCCACAGGCTCAGCAAGGCCTGGACCCCAGGCTCTCCAGCCTCAGTCCTGGGCTGCAGCCAATCAGACTTGGGCTCTGGGCCCAGGGGCCCCGCCCCTACTGGTGCCAGCCCCAGCCCTTGGGAGCTGGAAGGCCTTCTTGGGCCTGCAGAAAGCCAGGCAGCTGGATATGGGCAGGCCGCAGCGTGGGCAGGACGAGGCGGCTGCTGTGACTCTGCCGCTGAACCCTCAGGAAGTGACCCGGGGGATGTGTAAGGCTGTGCCCTTTGTTCAGGTGAGTGGGTAGGTGTGGGGAGGAGAGGGCTGGGTCTCAGCCTTGGCAGAAGGCACAGGCTGTGGCTCCAGACAGATTTGGGTTCAAGTCCTGTATCCTCCGCCTGAATGTCTCTGTGCCTCAGTTTCCCCCCTTGTAAAATAGGATCCAAGCACCTCCCACCTGGCCTCTATCCTGGTCTCCTTGATTCCACTATCATGGTCCTCTTCACCCCCAAGTCCATTTTTCCATTCGGCAGCCAGAGAAGGCTTGTGAGCACCAGAGTCAGATCTGGTTCCTCCTCCCACTAGAACGCTGAGTAAAGTAAACCCCACTTTACTCAGAACAAAAGCCCACGTCCTCCCCGCAGCCCACAGGGGTCTGTACTCTGATCCTGTGACCTCCCTGGTTTCACCTCCTCTCTGTCTCCCCTTCGCTTGCTTTGCTTCTACCACACCAGCCTCCTTTTCCTCAGACACCAACTTTCTTTTTTCCTTTTCTTTTCTTTCTTTTTTTTTTTTGACATGGAGTCTCACTCTGTAGCCCACCCTGGAGTGCAGTGGCGCATTCTTGGCTCACTGCCATCTCTGCCTCTTGGTGCCGGCTCAAACAATTCTCCTGCCTCAGCCTCCGAAGTAGCTGGGATTATAGGCACGTGCCACCACATCCAGCTAATTTTTTGGTATTTTTAGTAGAGATGGGGTTTCACCATGTTGGCTAGGCTGGTCTTGAACTCTTGACTTCGTGATCCACCCCCCTCAGCCTCCCAAAGTGCTGGGATGACAGGCGTGAGCCACCACGCCCAGCCTATTGTTTTTTGAGACAGTCTCTCTGTTGCCAGGCTGGAGTGCTGGAGTGCAGTGGCGCCATCTCAGTTTACAGCAATCCCGCCTCCCGGGTTCAAGCGATTGTCCTGCCTCAGCCTCCTGAGTAGCTGGGATTACAGGCGTGCATCATCACACCCCAGCTAATTTTTGCATTTTTGGTAGAGAAGGGGTTTCACCATGTTGGCCAGGCTAGTAGAACTTCTGACCTCAGGCGATCCACCCGCCTCGGCCTCCCAAAGTGCTGAGATTATAGGCATGAGCTGGGATCATAGCTCACTGCAGACTTGAACTCTTAGGATGAAGCAATCTTCCTGCCTCAGCCTTCTGAGTAGCTAGGACTACAGATGCACAGCATTAGTCCAGCTAATTTTTAATTTTTATTTTATTTTATTTTTTATTTTTATTTTTATTTTTTTTTCTGAGACGGAGTTTCGCTCTTGTTACCCAGGCTGGAGTGCAATGGCACGATCTCAGCTCACCGCAACTCCGTCTCCTGGGTTCAGGCAATTCTCCTGCCTCAGCCTCCTGAGTAGCTGGGATTACAGGCACGCACCACCATGCCCAGCTAATTTTTTGTATTTTTAGTAGAGACGGGGTTTCACCATGTTGACCAGGATGGTCTCGATCTCTTGACCTTGTGATCCACCCGCCTCGGCCTCCCAAAGTGCTGGGATTACAGGCTTGAGCCACCGCGCCTGGCCCCTATAGCCCAGCTAATTTTTTAAAAAAATTTCTTTGTAGAGACGGATCTCACTATATTGTCCAGGCCGGTCTCACGGCCCGTCCAGCCCTTGGCTTTCAACCCCTCCGTATCCTGGGTAATCAGTTCCCTAAATGAATCCCCTTCATTGATGGACCTAGAGTGATTTCATCTTTTCCTTGTTTATTAATTTATTTGCTTTTTTTTTTTTTTTTTTTTGAGACAGAGTCTTGCTCTGTCACCCAGGCTAGAGTGCAGTCATGATCTTGGCTCACTGCAACCTCTGCCTCCCAGCCTCAAGCAATTCTCTTGCCTCAGCCTCCCAAGTAACTGGGACTACAGGTGTGCACTCCCATGCCCGGCTAAGGTTTGTATTTTCAGTAGAGATGGGGTTTCACCATATTGGCCAGGCTGGTCTCAAACTCCTGGCCTGAAGTGAGCCACCCACCTCAGCCTCCCAAAGTGCTGGGATTACAGATGTGAGCCACCATGCCTGGCCGTTCTTGTTAAAGTACAATGAATTTACAGGTGAGGAAACGAGAGGTCAGAGAGGCTAATTTACCCCCATATCACAGCCAAGAAATGGCAGAGTCAGGCAGCCTGGCTGCAGCATCCATGCCTCTCAAGGTGAGGTGGAAGTGGAGAGGTGGATTTTCCTCGCCACTCTGGCCCCAGACTCCACCACCCTCACTGTCTCCATGCCTCTGGCCCCAGGTGCTCTCCCGGCCCGGCTGCTCAGCCACACGCCTCCAAAATCACCTCTGCTTTGGCCATTGCTCCTCTCTCTACATCCCTGGCTCGGACCCCACTCCACTAGTCCTGTGTAACAGCTGCATGCCCGCTCGCAAGCGCTGGGCACCCGTGGTCCTGTGGTGTCACGCTGGCAGCTCAGCCTCCCGTCGACGGGTGAAGATATCCACCGAGCTGATCGAGGAGTGTCACTGCAGCCCGAAGGCTTGAATTTAGCATCGTGGATGGGTGCACGGGGACATGCACCTTGGAGAGATGAGGGGAGATGGACCAAGAAAGACGTGGACCCGGACAATGAACTCTGGGTCAAGAGACCAGGGATGCAGGGTTAGGCAGTCAGGTCCCCGGAGTCTTCACCCTGCTCCTGGACACTCGACACAGCGCCAGTCCTGGAGTCACACCACTGACTGATAGCACACACTGATTGACCACTCACTCTTACCAGGACCCGTGTTAGGCATTTGACAGGTACTAACTCATGGAATCCTTACAGCAGCCAATGGGATAGCTGCTAACATCACCCCATTTTACAGATGAGCAAACCAAGGCCACTCACCCAGAGTCACACCACAGTAAGCGGCACAGCCAGGATTCAGATCCACTCTTTTTTTGGGGGGACAAAGTCTCTCTCTGTTGCCCAGGCTGGAGTGCAGTGGCATGATCTCGGCTCACTGCAACCTCCACCTCCCGGGTTCAAGCAAGTCTCCTGCTTCAGCCTCCTGAGTAGCTGGGACTACAGGCACCTACCACCACACCTGGCTAATTTTGTATTTCTAATAGAGATGGGGTTTCACCATGTTGGCCAGGCTGGTCTTGAACTCCTGACCTCAGGTGATCTGCCCACCTCGGCCTCCCAAAGTCCTGGAATCAATCCACTGTTAATCACTAGGCCAAACTATCTCTTATAGAATAAGGTCAAAGACACTCTCAGCTGCAGGGAGGGCAGATGGCCTCACCCAGACCAAGAGACACAGCGATGACCTCGTCCTAGGGACACTAAAAAAAAAACGCAAAACGAAAACCAAAGCGGTCAGGCAGACAGCTGCTGGGGGAAATCCTGGGGTCCCTGAGACAGAGGCAGGACCCACATGTTCCCAGCTGCCTCTTGCCTTGATAGTGGCCACTGTGCCCCTCCCAGACCCCCCACCTGAGTCTCCACACAGCCCCATCGCTGGCGTGGCATTCCACAGAAACCATAAAGGTTGGCTGAGTCCAGCTGTCTATATGTGCATCTGTTTTTTCCCTCCAACTGGGGTTCCCTGGGAGTGGGTGGCCCCATGATGGGGTGTGGGCATCTGAGCGCTCCCTCCCCAGCTGGGGCACAGGGTCTTCAGCCGGTGAGGGCAGCCTGGCTTTGGGCGGCTGGAACCAGGGCCCTGGCAGATGGGCCTGTCTGGCACAGACGCAGGGACATGTGGCGTTGTGAGTGTTGCCTCCAAATGCCCCCTGGAGCGCGGGGCGGGAGCCGGCCGGGCCCTTCTCAGCCCTCTTCCTGCCTCAGGAAGGAAGGCCCCAGGTGAGGGGAGCAGGAGGGGACCCGAGGAAACAGATGGGCCAGTGGGGCGTGGGAGCCAGAGACCCCTGACCTTGCAGGCCTCACAGAGAGATGGGAACGGGCCAGGCAGGCAGCTCCCAAGGCCCCTTGCTCAAAGGGCCCTGGAGGGGAGGGTCATGAAGGGTTCTGAGGGGCTGCCCCCTCTCTGTTCCCTCCAGAGTTCTGTGCCAAACCCCAGGCCGTGTCCGAGTGGGCAGCTCAGCCCTGGCACCATAGGCAACTCGCCCTCTGGTAGGCATGAGGCGTCTGCCTTCCCTCCCTCCTCTGTGCCCACCTCCTGCCAGCCAGGGGAGCCAGCTGGGAACCTTGGTGCCGGGGGGCCCCCAGAGTCCCTGCCCCCTCCCGGGCAGAGCCAGCCAGCCCCCACCCCACCCCCCAGGCACAGTAATGGGTGGGTAATGAGTGCTGGGAGAGCGGGGGAGGGGTGGGGGATGCAGGTGCCACAGGCGCTGGCACGGGGGCCGCTAATCAGGTTTGCCAACGCCATCTGTCACCGCACGAGCATCTGGGGCTCAAGGTGACCCTGTCACCCTCAGTTACAATTATGAGTTTGGCATCTGTATTAAAGCCCGCCAGCCGGCCAGGCGGGGGAGGGCTGGGGTGGGCATGGGGGTGCAAGGCGAGCCCCATCCCTGGGGTCCCATTCCCAGGGGCTGCGTGACTGCCAAGGAGTGGAGCTTCTTAGGGGAGAGAGTGTGTGTGTGTGTGCGCGCACACCCATCCCAGTCTCCACAATTCTTCACGTGTGCCTGGGCGCAGGGCTGGAAAGCATGGGTGTGTGTGTGTGTGTCTCTGTGTGGCAATTGTGTTTCTAGGAGTTTGGTGGGATGGCTGCGGGCAGAGTGCTGAGATTATGTGGATGCACAGATGTGCATGTGTCTGCGTGCTGGGACAAGAGTGTACAGAGGGAGGTGTGTCTTTGGGTGATGGTTTGTCATTTTATTTTTCTTTTATTATTATTGTTGTTTTTTAGACAGAGTCTTGCTGTGTCTCCCAGGCTGGAAAGGCTGGAGTGCAGTGGTGTGATTTCGACTCACTGCCACCTCCGACTCCTGGGTTCAAGTGAGTCTCCTGTCTCAGCCCTCTGAGTAGCTCGGATTTCAGGTGTGTACCACCACACCCAGCTAATTTTTTTGTATTTTTAGTAGAGATGGGGTTTCAGCATGTTGGTCAGGCTGGTCTTGAACTCCTGACCTCATGATCAACCTGCCTCAGCCTCCGGAAGTGCTGGGATTACAGGCATGAGCCACTGTGCCCGGCTTCTTTTATTATTACTAGTAATTATTATTGAGACAGGGTCTCCCTCTGTCACCCGGGCTGGACTGCAGTGGAGTAATCATGGCCGGACCCCTGTAGCCTCGAACTCCTGGGCTCAAGCGATCCTCCCTCCTCAGCCTCCTGAATAGTTGGGACTACAGGCTCATGCCACCAAGACTAGTTAATTTTGTTTATTTATTTTTGTAAAGACAGGGTCTCACTATGTTGCCCAGGATGGTCTCGAACTCCTGGGCTCACACCATCCTCCTGGCTTGGCCTCCCAAAGTGCTGGATTATAGGTGTGAGCCACCATATCCAGCCTGATGGTGTGTGTGTGTCTGTAATTGCACAGGAGTAGGTTGGGAGGCGTTTCAGCTGGGAGAGGCTATGTGCTGTACTGCTGAGCTCCTCACCTATCCCTTTGTTTCTATCTTCACCAACTCCTGCTACCTGGCTGTGATTTCGAGGGCTCTAAAGATGGGATAGTATCTGGATTTTGGCTGGGTGAGGAGTCTCATGCCTGTAATCCCAGCACTTTGAGAGGCCAAGGCAGGTGGACTGACTGAGCTCACAAGTTCGTGACCAGCCTGACCAAAATGGTGAAACCCTGTCTCCACAGAAATATATAAAAAATCAGGTCAGGTGCCATGGCTCACACCTATAATCCCAGCACCTTGGGAAACCGAGGCCGGTAGATCTCCAGGTCAGGAGTTCGAGACCAGCCTTACCAACATAGTGAAACCCCTTCTCTATTAAAAGTACAAAAAATTAGCCGGGTATGGTGGTGGGCGCCTATAATCCCAGCTTCTGGGGAGGATGGGGCAAGAGAATTGCTTGAACCTGGGAGGTGGCGGTTGCAGTGAGCCAAGATCGCAACATTGCACTCCATCCAGCCTGGGCGACAGTGCGAGACTCTGTCTCAAAAAAAAAAAAAAAAGATTAGCTGGGCATGGTGGTGTGTACCTGTAATCCCAGCTACTGGGGAGGCTGAGGTGGGAGAATGACTTGAGCCTGTGAGGCAGAGGTTGCAGTGAGCCACTGTCATGCCACTGCATTCCAGCCTGGGTGATAGAGCCAGACCCTGTCTCAAAAAAAAAAAAAAAGCAAAAACTAAAAAAGGCTGGGTTCAATGGCTCTCACCTGTGATTCCAGCACTTTGGGAGGCCGAGGCAGGCAGATCACGAGGTCAGGAGTTTGAGATCATCCTGGCTAACACAGTGAAACCCCATCTCTGTTGAAAATACAAAAAGTCAGCTGGGCGTGATGGCATGCACCTGTAGTCCCAGCTACTCAGGAGGCTGAGAGAGGAGAATTGAATGAACCTGGGAGGCGGAGGGTGCTGTGAGCCGGGATTGCACCACCACACTCCAGCCTGGGCAACAGAGCGAGACTCCATCTTGAAAAAACACAACAAAAAAACACAAACTCTCGATTTTGTAAGATGGCCTTTGGATTCTAAATTCTTAAAAGCTGGATTCTGGGTCTGGTGTGGATTCTAGAGTCTAGTTTTGAATAATAAGATCTAGATTTTTGGAGTATGGTTTCAGTGGCACCATCGTAGTTCACTGCAGCCTCAGAGACATGCCACTACGCCCAGCTAACTTTTAAGTTTTTTGTAGAGACAGAGTCTTGCTATGTTGCTCGGAGTGTCCCAAACTCCAGGCCTCAAGCGATTCTCACACCTTGGCCTCCCAAAATGCTGAGATTGTAAGTGTGAGCCCCCGTGTCTGGCTGAGTTCATGGATCTGGACTGTGTATCTCAGTATGATTAAAATATTTTTTTGCTGTTTTCTTTTTTTGAGACGGAGTTTCACTCTTGTTGCCCAGGCTGAAGTGCAATGGCGCGATCTTGGCTCACTGCAACCTCTGCCTCCCGGGTTCAAGCAATTCTCCTGCCTCAGCCTCCCAATAATCTGGGATTACAGATGCCCGCTACCACAGCTGACTAATTTTTATATTTTCAGTAGAGATGGGGTTTCATCATGTTGGACAGGCTGGTCTCGAACTCCTGACCTAAGGTGATCTGCCTGCCTGGGCCTCCCAAAGTGCTGGGATCACAGGCGTGAGCGCCCGGCCCAGAATGATTAGACTCTAGATGCTGATCCTAGGTCCTGAGATCTGGATTACAGGCTCTGAGTTCTGCATCTGGGTTTCTGCTTCTGGACTTCAGTCCGTGGGCCTGTGTGTTCTGTGTCCTCTCTGTCCACAGCATCAAAGTCAGCAACTGGGCTGCCTGTCATCCATGGATGGGTGCAGAGACCATTTATGGCCACCAGAGGACACCCTTGATCTACAGTTGGTCCAAGTTGCCCGACTGGAGGAGGAGTCTGGGAGAACACTGGCCCAGGTGGACTAAGCCCTTTCAGGGGGACCAGAGGCTTGAATTCACTTCCCTCTTCCATCCCAGTCTCCACTGGGACCTGAAATCTGTGAGCCCCCACTGACTCAAACGTGGAGAACTGGACTGAGCACCTCCAGTGTTCCGAACGGGACCATGGGACAAGGTACCTTCCCAGTTAGTAGGTCAGATGCAGGGTTGAAGGCACACGTGTCCATGAGGTTGACAATGAGTGTCGAAAACGTGTCCAGGTGTGAAGGGGAGGGTCACCGTGCATCGGGAGTGGCCACATATGACAGCATTGCTAAGAAATGTGAGCCTGGGGGCTGGGTGCGGTGGCTCACGCCTGTAATCCCAGCACTTTGGGAGGCTGAGGCGGGTGGATCATGAGGTCAAGAGATCAAGACCACCCTGGTCAACATGGTGAAACCCCGTCTCTACTAAAAATACAAAAAATTAGCTGGGCATGGTGGTGCGCGCCTGTAATCCCAGCTACTCAGGAGACTGAGGCAGGAGAATTGCCTGAACCCAGGAGGCAGACGTTGCGGTGAGCTGAGATCGCGCCATTGCACTCCAGCCTGGGTAACAAGAGAGAAACTCTGTCTCAAAAAAAAAAAAAAAAAGAAAGAAATGTGAGCCTGGGAGGCATGGTGACTCATGCCTATTGTCCTGGCACATAAGAAAGTGAGACTAGGAGTTCGAAACCAGCCTGGGTAACATAGGAAACCCTCATCTGTGTATCAAAGAAAAAAAAAGACATGTGAACCTGTGTGATAGATGGTGTGTGGCCACAACTATTTTCACATGTCTGACAAGGTCCTCCCTCATGAGACAGTGTACCTACATGGTTGTGTCTATAACTGGGAGATGTCACTAGAAGTCCCCGTGTGAGTCCGTGTCATACTCATGTGTCTGCATCTATAATTGTGTCACTAGGCATCTATAGGTATCCATAGGTATGACTGGGACCATCTGGGGGAGGTGTCACTGGATGAGGGTGTCCTGGAGTGTCAGAAGCAGTGTCCCAGCTTGGCGTGCTGGCTCGCACCTGTAATCCCAACACTTTGGGAG